ATTTAAACACAGGGTAACAAGACACAGGTGGGAATAATCAGGGGCGGGACTGACGCTGATTAGCACAGGAGACACAGAAGGGGTGACAGGTGAAAATAATCAGGAATTTAGACACACCAGGGAAAACTAACGACAGGAAAACACAGGGAAAAAAAGACCAGACAATATACAGGGAGGAAAACATGACAAGGAGAACAGAAAAACACCCACTCCAAACTTAAAACCGTGAAAATTCTACACACAATTACATTTAACATGTTTCTGCTAGGTTTGCCTTTTACACAAATCCATCCCACTTATTCCCACATGTGACCTGATTTTACAAGTCCCACATTTCCCCAGAATCCCCTCTGTTCATGTGATGAATGTAAGTGTAGATGTACAGTACCTGACACAGAGAGCAGGAAGACAACTAATCCACTCGCTGCTGCAGTTAGACTCATAGCTGCTCCTCTCATTTCTGTGAGACTATAAAACATGTCAGATTAAATAATGTTCACAGGAGGTATACAGAATCATTACATCAATAAACTGTTTCTACTCACAGTGAAGGAGGAACCATGTGTTCAAAGATGCCTTTCCTCTGTCGTCAATGAGCAGAAGGCGGATATCAGGCTGTTAATAGATAGATTTACTTCCTCTTTAGATTATGAATATGCATGATGAGCCAAATGCCAGTTAACATCCCCAGAACTTAAATACATACATAACGAATCAAAGGACAAGACTGAGCTAGGCAGGGCAGGAAAAACTCAATGGTACCCGGTTAACAGAATCAAAAATCAAAAAGGAGGGAAAACACAGAGACAGGAAGCAGACACAGACATGAGACAGGGGGTGAACACTTTTGAAAATAAAACAGGAAAACAGACAGACCGTCACGAAGAGGGAAATAAGTATTTTAGTTTAGGTTTCCTGACCCTTTAAAGCAGACAGTGGAGGGAGCTCTCTGAGTGATGAAGCCTGAATGTGTCTCACTTAAGATCCCCCACTAGAGGACAGTGAAACATCAGATACTGAATCAGGGCCCTGAGACACATTCTAACATCCATCAGTGATTGTTTTGACAAATGTAAATGCATATTTTGATTTTAAAGATGTAATGAGTGAAACCTATTGCCATTTTAGTCTTTTAGCATTAGAGTTAATTTACTGTATAGTAGACTTACACTTCACACCGAGGACCAACATATTTGACATATTGGAAAGCAACTCTTTAATTAAAACGTGTTTTACTTGAATAACGACTCATAATCAGGGCGTTGCACAAGCTTTACCAAATGGACTTTTCTCCAGCACGGACCACTCCTCAACAATATGTCACTTCAACTTTTATTTCAGGTATTTTTGTTCATTGAGCACTGATGAAATGTAAAAGGAAGGGGTAAGGCTGGTCTGGAGGACCTACTGTAATCCAGGCAGGATATAGGAGTGGTGGGTTTAGTGGTGAACTTTCCTTATAGAAGTGCTCTGTATTCTATACTATATTCTCACCTTATTGTTGGCTACCAATGAGACACATATGACTCCAGTGGTCTGCTTAAAGGGGTACTGACCATGTTTAGTAGATGACATTTGTAAACCTAGCCCAGCAGGCACGTGGGCTTGAGTCACTGCCTTTTTTTTTCCTCCAGAGAAAGTTCCCTTTTTTCCCTCTTTTTTTTTATTTTTATGAATTAATATATATCTACTGCTGTTTGCGCACAGTTTCCATTTCCAAAAATATATTGATTGAATACAAGATTAAAATATCAGGTCGGGAGATTAGACTGTGAAGTTCCGATGCTCTATCTGCCCTCCATCCCTCCCTCCACGTCTCGCGCACAGCGGTGCGGACAGTCATCGGCAGTCACTTCAGACAGACAGGTAGCAGCACCTCCCACTTTACTGTCCCATGTTATGCCGGCTTTTCTTGGTTTATTTAGTTAACTAAGGTAGGCTACTAGCTAATGGATAAATTAGCTCAAGGTTTAGCTAAGGCAATTTATCATGGGCATACAGGCTAATGTACAGTACTTAAAGGGAGACACTTAAGGTGAATACAGTAAAATGTGTATCTAATAACGTCATCACAATCGCCACATTGATATGCAAATTAGGCGTTAACTAGGCTTAATTAAAATGCACTAATTTGCATGCAGTTACCAAGGCATTGCAGGTGAAAAGGATAAAACAAAAAAAACACATCACCTCACAACTTCCCCGGATAGTTACTTACGTCAAGTCAGTATTTTCCCCTGAAATGTTATGTTTATGCACCTATCATGCAAAATGCACTCTTGTACGTCTTTTATACATGTGTCCCTGGTGTGTCAGGGAAGTGACCAAGTGTCAGAAAAGAAAACCCTCTCTCTTTTCCTCCATACCCAAATCTCTAAAAACGGGGCTGCAACGGATCTGATACAGACTGATCCAGATTTGAATTATTTCCTATATCACAAAAGGGGTGCTCCGCTTATTGGTCAATTCTCCACCTATCAGGGGAATGAGAGGTTGGGCCACGGCCGGCCTTTGCCGCTCGAAAGCGCTGGAGACGCTGTAGTACATATGCCAGGCCTGTAAGTGGCGTTGTAGTCTGCCACAAAAGCAGCGAAGAAGACTTCCCGCGCATGGTTGCCATGGTTGCCCTTCTGTTTATTCTCTGCTGTGGCTCTTTTTCTCCCTCCCCGAGGCAAGCGTTTGCGCCTCCTGCTTTAAAACAAATGAATAATGACTCTAGAGTCATTATTCATTTGTTTTAAAGCAGGAGGCGCAAACGCTTGCCTCGGGGAGGGAGAAAAAGAGCCACAGCGGAG